AACTGCTCCTGTGCAACCTGCAACATCCAGAAGAGAGCAGAACCAGATTAAAATGTAATTGAGAAATAGTTAACAAAATAAATAAAAATACAACAGAACATAGATAGTATTAACACATGATGCTCTAAGTCAGTATGATCATTACATGTGGTTTGTTGTTATTATTCAACTGTTTCAGACTCTTTGTGACCCCATTTGGTGTTTTCTTGGCAAAGATACTGGAGTGGTTTGCTATTTTCTTCTACAGCTCTTTTTACAGATGAGGAACTGAAGCAAACAGGGTTAGGTGACTTGCCCAGGGTCACATAGCTAGTAAATATCAGGTCAGATTTGAACTCAGAAAGACTAGTCTTCCTGACTCCAAGCCTGGCATTCTATCCACTGTGCCACCTACCTGCCCAAGAATTAACCTTTCATTAATTTTTTTAACTTTGAACCAGGTAAAGGTAAGAAGATATAGGATTATTCATGTGTGTGGCCATGACATTGAGTCACATGACACATAGCAATGCTGCTTTTTCGTAGGGTCACAGATTTGAAAATGGAAGGAACCTTACTTCCATTAACTTCTTCCAAACTAGCAGTCACCTAGTCATCCCTCTTACAGAGATTTAGGTTAAGTGATTTGCCCAGGTTACAGCAGAACTGGGATTTGAACTTGGAACCTATAACTCCACATTCAATTCTTTCCATTGCACCATGGTTAAGTTTATGGGCCAACTTTTCTATAAAGGAGCTGCTTCATAGTAGTACTCTAGGGTCCTAATGCACAACAGACTGGCATTTTCATGTTAGTCCTCACTGACTTCCATTAAATATTTTAGAATATCTTATGTTTTAACACAGACCCCTCTGACCCCACAATATATGACCACTTTTATGAAAGTGAATCGCCATTTGCCAGAAACCAGCTAAAGGGCGATTCCACTAATACAGATGTGACATGATAAGGTTAATGGAGAAAAAGGGACAAGTACCATATATCTTGGGGTCATCTAGACAAAGTGACTAACTTTATAATAATAATAATAATTTTTTTTTCAGTCAAGATCTGTGACCAGTGTAGGAAACACCTGATGAAGAAACTCCCTCTAACTCTGGCACCTGCTTGGCAACTTACAGCCTTAGAGGCGGCCCACTGGACAGAGTGCTAGACTTGTAGAGAGGAAGACTTGACTTCAGATCCAGTCTCAGGCAATTACTACCAGAGTGACCCTGGCTAATCACTTAACCTCTGTTGCCTCACTTCCCCCATCTGTCAAGTGGGGTTAATGCTGGCTATTATTAGAGGGTTGGTTGTTCAAGGCATTGAGAAGCCTCTCTCAAGGCCTCTCAACTGAGTCTCAAGGCCGCTATATTTCAGAGGCAGGACTTGGACCCCAATCTGCTTGACTCAGAAGCTACCTCTAAATATTGTTGATAATAATAATAATTATAAAACAACAATAACAACAGCAACTTGGTGACTAGAATTATACTTTCTGGAAGCTCAGTGTCTTTCATGGACTAAAAAACAACAAATCCCATTTACTACAAATACAGACTTCAAATGTCCTTGGTCAAAATACTGGTGAATCAGTAAACTGTAGTGAAACTGGAGTGTTATTACAGGATGTGCTGTTGCCCATTATTACCCAGACATAACGTCAGTCCATAAAATCTTAAGAACAAATAGTCCCTGTTCTCAAGGAGCAAATATTTTAAAAGATGTTGTCATACCAAAGACTCATATCTCCAAAATGTATGGAATGAAAAGCTTTCAAAATACAGAGACTTTGCTGAAGAAATAAGAATCATATGAGAATAGGTTAAAGAACATTTCATCCTTGTGATTCTATTACTGGGGTTGTCCCAAGGATTCTTTAACTGATCCTACAAAGATGAACTTATATGGTAATTCGTTAGTTCCAACTATAAAAAATAATTCAATAGTCCATAGACTATTAAATATAAAAGAACATCAGTAGAATACTGACTTTTCCTTCTTTAATTTAATTAAATTTTATTTCAATTTTCAAGCATTTCTTTTTTTTTCCCCTTCCACCTCCCCCAACCCACTAAGGGGAAAGGAAGAGAAAGAAGAAGAAAAACAAAACCCTTGTAACAATAAACATAATCAAGCAAAACAAATTCCCAGGTTGGAGCTTAATTTCCCAGGACTGTCTCTATCTGAATTCCATTGAACAAAATGACAGTAATTTTTCCATGATGATAATAATAATAACTTACATTTATATGGATAGACACTGGATCTGCAATTTCGTTAGTATAGGCAACTCCCAGATGAAGAATTTCGCCTTCCAATGTAGACCGGCACCTCCTCTTCAGTTTAGAGTCTTAGAAATTTGCAGAGACCACTAAAAGATTAAGTGACTTAACCAGGGACACACAGTCAATATCTGTCAGGTTAGGAACTGACATTTATACAGGGCAATGTATTTTACATAAATTATTTAATTTGAATCTCACAACAGCCTTGTGAAGTTGATACTACAAGTGTTATTTTACAGATGAGGAAACTAAGGCTCGGAGATATTAAATGATTTCCCCATGGAAGTAACACAGGCAGGATTTGAACCCAAATCTTTCTGACTCTACGTCCATGAAAGAAAAGAGAAGAAGATGATTTTCTGGTATTCTATAAGTGCACAGAAATGGAAAGAAAGGAAAGCTCAATTTTATAAGGTGAGGGGTGGGATATAGTTAAAGAAGCTGATGAGCTCAGTTTTTGTTGTTCTTGTTTTTTTTTTTGGTGAGGCAATTGGGATTAAGTGACTTGCCCAGAGTCACACAGGTAGTAAGTGTTATGTGTCTGAGGCCGGATTTGAACTCAGGTCCTTCTGAATCCAGGGCCAGTGCTCTATCCACTGTACCACCTAGCTGCCCCTGAGCTCAGTTTTAAGTTAGAAGTGCCTGCAGGACATCCATGTGGAGCTCACAGCATCATTTAATGAGGGCTAGAAGGAACCTTAGAGATCATCTAGTTTTCTTCCCTTTCCCCCTGCTTTGATTTTTCTGCATATAGTTTTAACCTATAGACTCAGAATCAACAAATGGAATAAACCAATATGTAATAGAACAACTTTCATGTGGCTATGTCCTCAGACTCTGATTGCCAATAGCCTAGGAGTTTTAGGAAAGACACAATTCTGATGTTTAGTCTCACTGACTGCTCCTCCTCTCCCGCCTTCCATCAGGAGGGAGCAAAGGCGTGCAACCCCCTAACTTTATTTGATGAAGAAACTAAGGCCCAGAGAGGTCAAAGGTATGACTAAATGTATGGAATGGCAAAGCCAGGGTTCAACCTTAAATTCTCTGATTCCAGATCTGGCATTATTCACCCTTTTGTTGTTCATTCGTTTCAGTTATGTCTGACTCTTTTGGCCCTATTTGATTCTATTTGGTATTTCCTTCTCCAGCTTATTTTACAGATGAGGAAACTGAGGCAAACATGGTTAAGTGATTTGCCCAGAGTCACACAGCTAGTACGTGTGTGAGGCCAAATTTGAACTCAGGAAGATGAGTCTTCCTGCCTCCAGGCCTGTCTCACTATCCACCATACCACCTAGATGCCGTTCTTCCCCCTGTACCACAGTATATCTCAGTAGCTGGACATATAGATCTGGGAGTTATCAGATTTAATGAAATTGCAGGAAAGGATGGGATTGCAAAGGGAGCATAGAGAGAAGGGCAGAGGGTTGAGGATAGGAGAAAGCTCAGTATAGCATGCTTTAGCACCAGAGAATCAGAAGTCATCTGGTTCCAATCTCTCATTTTACAAAGGGTGTGGCTGATGAGAGGGGCAGTGACTTACACATGGTCACAGAGCTAATCAGTGGCATAGTCAGAATCAGAATCTAGGTCTAGAATTCCTTCAGAGTTCTTTCTGTTGTAGTAATGAGGACAAGATACTTATGATGATACATTAAGGTGATGATTATGGCAAATTATAAAGGTTAAGTGATGGGGAGTGTCCCATACTCTAAGCACAGAACTCTCTTCTTCCAGACTGACTCTACACTGATGGTGACTGATAATCCAGTAATAATCAAGTGGCCAAGGATGATAATGATGTGAAAATGATGAAGTATTGAACCCAATTCCCAGTAACCTGTAGAATGAATGTGGTCCAGCCAAGTTAGTGTGTAAAACATAATTCTAGGTATGGAACCCCATTTTCCCAGGGTAGAATGATCTTCATATTATTAATTCCTATTATTAAATAAAAAGCTAGGTGGCACAGTGGATAGAGTGACAGGCCTGGAGTCAAGAAGACTCATCTTTCTGAGTTCAAATTTGGCCTCAGACACTTACTAGCTATATGTCCCTGGGCAAGTCACTTAAACCTGTTTGCCTCAGTTCCTCATCTGCAAAATGAGCTGGTGAAGGAAATGATAAATCACTCCAGTATCTTTGTCAAGAAAACCCTAAGTGGGGTCATGAAGAGTCAGACACTACTGGAAAATGATTGAACAACCACAAAAACAACAACAACAATGTAATGGAACGCTGTAATGTCATAAGAAATGATGAAAGAGACAGTTTCAGAAAAGTCTGGGAAGATTAGTGCAAAATAGCATAGCACAAAATGAGCAGAACCAGAAGAATAATCTCTACAATAACAACATTGTAAAGACAAACATCTTTAAAAGACATTAGAATTCTGATCAATGCAACGAGTAACCCTGATTCCAGAGGACCAAGCTTCATTGCATTGCTACCCCTCTCTTGTCATGGAGGTGATAGGCTTAAAATGCAAAACAAGACATGCATTTTTGGACTTGGCCAATGAGGGATTCTTTTTTTTTTTGCTTGACTCTGAATATTTGTTATAAGGAGAGAAAAGGGAGAGAAAATATATTTTCATTCATTGAAAAAAAAAGGAAAAAATGAAAGAGATTCCAAGAAAAATTGTGGAAGTTTTTTGCGTCTCCGTCCTTTGGGGGAAGGGTGGTCCTCCTTAAACACTGATCCTCTCTTCTCCACTACCTCTGCTCCAGGGAGATTGGGTTTGGCTGAAGAAATTTCCAGGTGACCAACATACTGAAATTCGTCCTGCAACCAAGATGGCCTTCTCCAAGGTGAGGAAAGGTTAAGGAAGTAGGAGAGAGATTCATTCATCCAATGTTCCCAAGGCATTTCTGAATAAACTAATGAATAAGTGAATAAACTAATGCCTTGTACCCTGAAGGAATTTACAATCTAGTAAAATAGGTTTAGCTGTCTAATATCACAACATCTTCTGCCGAGTTAGCAAAACCTAAGATTAGAAAGTAGGAAAGAGTTCTACCCTTCAACCTCTGTCCCAAGCCTCGCTTTACTTGTCCTTCCCCCCACAAACCCAATAGCATCCTGATGGTCCGTCTCCCTCCTTTCCCTCTCATTGGGACTTTTCTTTCACAGAAAGCTTCCTCTCTTTGGAAAAGGAATCAGTAGTGAGAGGCTTCCTAGACATCTCTCTCCTTTTTTTCTTTTCCTTAAGGCAGAAAGTCCTTTGACAGCCTCATCCTTCCCTCCCCACTCCTACTCCCCTGAAGTCTGATTGCCTTTTTTTCTCTCCAACTCCAAAATCTCATAGCTGCGGGAGCTCCGCCATGAGAACGTAGCTCTCTATGTGGGGCTTTTCCTGGCTGGGAATATGGACGGGGCTGGATCAGGAGGGCCAGGAGGGGGCATCCTAGCTGTGGTCTCTGAGTATTGTACTCGAGGATCCCTCCAAGATCTGCTCACTCAAAAGGACATGAAACTTGACTGGATGTTCAAATCCTCCCTCCTGCTTGATCTCATTAAGGTAAGGGAGAGGTGTTCTTGGGAGGAAGCAGAGGAAGGGACTTAAGGGAAAGCAGAACAGTCGGGTAGTGGCGATCCCAGAGTCGGAAACTAGGGGCTATGGTTATATCCACCCCACTCTCACTGAACCTCTAACTGCTGCTTCTAAGGGCATACGCTATTTGCACCATCGTGGGGTTGCCCATGGGAGACTCAAGTCCCGGAACTGTGTGGTGGATGGGAGATTCGTGCTCAAGATCACAGATCATGGTCATGGGCGGTTGCTGGAGGCTCAGAGAATATCCTTGGAACCACCCCAAGCTGAGGGTAAAGGCCCTTCCCAAACGTCCCCATATTCCTTGTTCCCTAACAATTCCCTTCTCCTTGCCCCCAGGGACCTTTTATTTGACTGCATCTCTGTTTTCCATCACTCCTCCTAGTGTCTTTATCCCTTCCAAGGTACAATTCGTGGTTATCCCGCAGAGGTGATATATTAGAAGGAGCCCTGGAATTAGACTGGGCTGAATTTCAGTTCTGCTACTTACTACTTGCATAACATTGGACAAGTCAATTCCCCTTTCTCGATCTCAGTTTCCTCATCTGTAAATTAAAGAGATCAGATTGAATAATCTTTAAGTTTTCTACCAGTTCTGAAACATAACGTGTCCTTGTCACTCAACATCCTTTTGGATACCCCAGGCCACAACCGGAGAGGCCCACTGAATGGGCCCTTACTTCCAAGGATCTTTCCTCAGTCCCCTAGGTCCGAGGTAGGAATTCATCTCCAAATCTTCTCAGAGCCTAACTGGAAAGTGAGAAGTCTCCAGAGCTTCTAAGGGTTAGTGGCGAGGGGGCTTAGTCCTTGGAGCAATAGTAAAGGTGAGCTTAGCTCCAGAGTAGTTTAGGAAAAGGCAGTACTATGCATCCCCTTATCATCTGCAAAAAGCAAAGGTCAAAGCCCGGGTTATTTGGAAATCGGGAGATTTGGATTCTATTCCTAGCTCTGCCACTGACCAGCTACACAATCTCAGGCAAATTAGTTTCCCTCTCTGTGCCAAGGAGAACAGTAATAACTCTGACATTAAAGTCATAGTTGGGAAGGGGAACTAATCTGGCTGAGCAGAGGTAGAGTTCAATTCAATTCAGCAAATTAAGTGTCTGTTGTGTGCAGACATCAGTGCTAGATGTGGGAAGAAACTATGTTTATCTTTGGTCTGGTTCTTTGATTTGACCGATATGTGGGTTTGGAAGTCTCATTATGGAAGCTCTCTCCACTAATGCTGACCTGCAACTCTTCTGTAACTTAACCTTTCAGAGAGTTGCTTTGGGGAAACAAGTGGTTAATGGACTTGCTGGTGGGCACACAGCTTGTATCGCAAGACTGGAAGAACCCAGGTCTTTTGGACGCTAAGGGCAGCTTCTAGCCGTTACACAGCACTTCCTCTAGGGAGGAGATGTAATTTAGAGACAATACCCGTCATGATGGAATCTGCAGTCAGGGGGAGTATATGGGATCCATAGATAACTACAATCTGAAATAATACAAGCTAAACATATCACTGAGGTGCAAAAAAAAAGTCATGTCTGAAGTCTGAGGGTTAAAGGGTCATTGACCACTTTGGGGCCAAGGAAGGGTTCCTTGAGAAGGTGATAAGATAAGTTCAGTTTTTGACATGTTGAGAATGAGGGGCTGGCATGCCATCCAGGCAAAAATGATCTTAGGGATCACCTAATCTACCCATTTACCCCTTCTACTCCTTCCTTTTTACAGATGAGGAAATCTTCAGAAAGCTAAAATGAGAAACTTGGAATAGATAATCTTAAGTTCCCTTCTTCTGACATCTTATGGTCTCTGTCTGAGGGAGTGAGGACTCCCCTCTAGGGGGAGAGGCTGTTAAGGAGTTTTGTTGCAAAGAACACTGAAATGACCTTTAGTTTTGACTGAGCAACGAAACAGCTATGACTTTAGGCAAGGTCTTTTTTCCCTCTTGGCTTCAGTCTCATCCTCTGGAGAATCAGAGAATTGGACCTTGTGATCTCGGAGGGCTTTTCCAGCTCCAGCTCTCTGATTCTATGAGAAACAAGTCTCCTGATAGTAGTAGAAACTCATCATGGAACCTGACATGGTTAGTGAGTTGGGGAGAAGCAGGGACTGATATCATGGGATCCTGGCGTTGGCCCTCAATACTGTATGTTAAGAGTTTTCCTTTCCCTCCCTGTCCTGTGACTCCCTCCCCCCTCCCACTAAGACCGCTTGTGGACAGCCCCCGAACTCCTGCGGAATGAGGCTTTGGAACGACAAGGGACCCTGCAGGGAGATGTGTTCAGCCTGGGCATCATCATGCAAGAAGTAGTATGCCGCTGTGAGCCTTATGCCATGTTGGAGCTGACCCCTGAGGGTATCTCCCCCCAACCTCCATTTTGGGCTTGTTCTTTGGGGAGGAAGTCAGTAAGAAGACATCTTCACTTATACGGGGACTCTCCCAGTCCTGGGGTCTAATTGGGCACTCCCTTTGACTTCCCTTCACTCCCAGGGATACTAACCTGGAACCCATTCCTAAAGGCATGGACACCACCCCTAACCCAATGAGTCTTTTCATATCTTAGGGCCCCATTTTCTTACCCTTTCTGAGTCCCTCTTCCTCATACTGGAGCCTACCACACTATTTGGTAACTTGGGGGAGCTATGCCTCCCTGGATTGTTAGGGTGGGGTAGAGGATCTCTATGGGGCAATGTCATCTTCACTTCTGGTTGGGGGGGCAGGCTACCTTAGAGACATTGGGAATTTTGGGAATTACCAGCCTCAGCTGGCACACCCGAGCATCTGGGCCTATCCTTGGCTAGACCTCTGAGGCCAAAATGGCACAGTGTCCTTAGGGTCCCCTCACCCTCACACACAACACACACTATTGAAACTCATCTATGAAGAAGTCACCCCCCAGGACCCCTAGTTCCTAGCCTTATAATGTCCATTGGTCATTTGCTACCAGCCTTCCAGTCTCCCTCACTAGGTCCTCCCTCACTAGGAACCTCTTCAATATCTCAGTCTCTTTTCAATGGATCCCAAAAGGCCTTTTCCTTTAATACCACACTCCCTTCTCTACTACTGTCCCCAACCTTTTCTCATGCATATTTCCCAGAAGTCACTCTTAGATGAGCTGGGATCAGGGATGATTTTGGACTGGTATTTAGATTCTCGACTCTATGCTCTCTTTCCCCACAGAGATTGTCCAAAAAGTACAGAGCCCCCCACCAATGTGCCGGCCCTCAGTGTCCATAGACCAGGCCCCCATGGAGTGTATCCAGCTCATGAAGGAGTGCTGGGCAGAGCAGCCAGACCTAAGACCCACCGTGGATACAACCTTTGACCTGGTCAGGGACTGGAGGGGTCCCAGGAATATGTAGGAGCAGAGTAGCCCCTTGCCCCATAGCCAAGGATTAGCGTAATACTGCACTCAGCCAATGATTTGGGGTTGAGGGAGACATTAGAGTAGATGGTGGTGGGGTGATACTTTTAACTGGTGTATTGTACATGCCTAGTCCCCCAGGGAGGAGGCCCAGAGAATGAGAACATAGCCAGGACTAGGGGTGGATAGGTTAGGTAAGGTAGACAGCTGCCTAAGACATAAATGGAACAACAGGGGACACTTTTTAATATCATGTTTTGTAAGTGCACATATTTTTAATGGCAGATAATTTTGTTCTCTGTGCCCATAGGTACTTATTTTGTGTTACATGCATTGCAGTCACAGCTGAAAACCACCAGTAGACAGTAACACAAACAGTGAAGGTGAAAGAGAGCACAATTTTCAAACAATTGCCTTACCCTGGCTAGGCTCAAAGCTGGTAGACATGAGGAAATCTGTTTGTGAGAACAGGAATTGATGGGAGAGAGAAGGAAGGTCCAACTTTACTGGTTTAACTGCTGGGGGAAGGGAAGAAGGAAGAAAACCCTTGTTGGAGTAGGGAGTGATAGAGTGAGACAAGGAGTTTGAGGTTGGGAGAGGATTAGGGCTACAGCCCTTGGATTGTTGCGGGACTGAGTCCTTAAGAGCCACTCCTCCCTACCTTCTACCCTCAAGTTCAAGAACATTAACAAGGGCCGGAAGACAAACATCATTGATTCCATGCTGCGGATGCTGGAACAATATTCTAGCAACCTGGAGGATCTGATTCGAGAGCGGACGGAGGAGCTAGAGCTTGAGAAACAGAAGACAGACAAACTGCTCACTCAGATGCTTCCCCCGTGAGTGGCTCTGCTGAGACACTTTAGTGGGGGGAGGGAGAATGGCTGCGGTTGGAGGACAAGCCTGAGAAGATATGCCACAAAGAGCAGGGCAAGGAGAGGGTATAAGGGATGGGTGAGCATGAGCTCCAGGATCAAATGGACCATATTCAATCTTGAAACCTCTCTAGAATCTATATGGATAGTCCCTCCAACTAGGGTTCTCTCTGAGAACAATCAAAATTTGACTACATAACTGGATCCTGATTAATGCAAATAATGAATCCCATGAAGAGGTAGCATGCATTTAAATTTGGGCTATCAAAGTTATAATTATGTAAAATATGGTCATTGGTTCCAGCCCAATGGAAATATGAATACAAATTCAAATAATGGGAACGTGTCACAAGATTTATTATCGGCATTAATTGGGATCTAGCTGTATAAGCATGGAGAGAGGCAGGTTTGAATATATTGAAGGCGGCTGATCACAAGCATCCAGGGAAATGATGGGAACATGAGTAAGTGGGATGAGTTAAGGCTTGCTTATCTGAGAGTAAGTAATGCTATAGAAAGTGCTCTAGCTATGAAAATTGAAAGACCTGAGTTCAAATCCTAGCTCTATCTGTGCTTGCTACCTGTGGGGTATTGGACAAGCCACTTTACTTTCTTGGGTCTCACTTTCTTCATCTTAAAATGAAGGTGTAAGACTAGATGACCTCGAAAGTCCCTCCTAACTGTGAGAACTACAGTGTGATTCTCACCAAGCCATCGTGTACCCTCTGCCTTACCCAGTGTCCTCTTTACCAGGACATGGGCCCAGACTTTGAGGTCAGGAATCCTATCTACATTTCTCACCTCAAGTCAGTGGCCAAGTCCTTGAGGACGGATCACCCCTTGGGCATGTAGCTGTCTTTGAACCATAAAATATCTTGAGTTAGAAGGTACCTTGGAGATAATTTAGTCCAACTTCCTCCTTTTTCTTATTTATTTATTTATTTAGGCTCGGCAATGGGGTTAAGTGACTTGCCCTGGGTCACACAGCTAATAAGTGTTATGTATCTGAGGCTGAATTTGAACTCAGGTCCTCCTGACTCTAGGGCCAGTGCTCTATCCACTGTACCACCTAGCTCCCACCTAGCTGTCCCCCCTCCTTTTTCTTATTGTCCTCTCCCATGGAGATGACTAAGGTCCTAGGTACAGGTACACTCTGCCCTAACCATCCCACACAGATACAAGCTGTACATAATTCCCTCCTCCCCAGCCAAACTAGACTATTTACTGCTCCTTAAACATATCCCACCTCTTTCCTCATGCTGTTTCCTGTGACCGGCAGGTGCTCCCTGAGACCTAGCTCAAATGCCACCTCCTCCATGAAGCCTTCCTTGATCTTCCCAGCCAGGGATGATCTCTGACTCTTCTGAGCTCCCATAGCACTTTGTATGACACCTTTGTATGACACCCTGTTCTCATGGTGAGCTCTTTGAACAAGGCAGGGACTATTTTCCCTAGCACTTATTATACACTGTACTCTGCATAAAACAGGTTGCTCAGTGTTGGCCGAATGGACCCCTCCAGCTCTGTACTCACTATGCTCTCCTCCCCAGGTCCGTGGCTGAGGCTCTGAAGCTGGGGATCCCAGTAGAGCCTGAATATTTTGAGGAGGTCACTCTGTATTTCAGTGACATTGTTGGCTTCACCACTATCTCAGCCATGAGTGAGCCCATTGAGGTTGTCGATCTGCTTAATGACCTCTATACACTTTTTGATGCCATCATCGGTTCCCATGATGTCTACAAGGTTGGTGACATGGAGGGGTAGAGATGGAGTTAGAGAAAAGGGTCAGAGGGGTGCTACCTACTCGGAAGACCCAGTTTTCTTTTTGATGCCATAGCAGTTGGGAGAAGAGGGGAAGTGGAAAGTGAGAACTTCAGCTTAAGCAGGGGAGTATTTGGCCTTGGAAGGACTATGGGAAGGGAAGAAGCCAGAATAGAATGGAAGATTCTATGGAAATCAGACACTAGGCGGGGAGTTGGGGATAGCTCATTGCTGGCTGTCTTGGTCCCCAAAGGTGGAGACAATTGGTGATGCCTATATGGTAGCTTCAGGATTACCCAAGCGGAATGGGCAGAGACATGCAGCAGAGATTGCCAACATGTCACTGGATATCCTCAGCTCTGTGGGCTCCTTCCGCATGCGCCATATGCCAGAGGTTCCTGTCCGCATCCGCATAGGCCTGCATTCTGGTAATCACCCCACCCACCAAGAACTCTCACCCCTTGCCAATAAATTTTTTTCATTCCCAGAGCTCCCCACACCATCCTATTGGGCTCCACACCAGGGATAACCTTTTTACCCGAGCCTCTCCCAAATCTCCTTAAAAAATGCACTGGTTCTGTTTTCCAACAACATATCCTCTGTTCTCTCTCTGCTCCATGTCTCTGTGTGTTTCCGTGACCCTGCGCCACCCTATGTCTATAATTAGGCCCATGTGTGGCTGGAGTGGTGGGCCTCACCATGCCTCGTTACTGCCTCTTTGGAGATACTGTCAATACAGCCTCTCGAATGGAGTCCACAGGGCTACGTGAGCTGGGGCCGGGGTGGAGGTTTGGACGTGTTGGGGGTGGGAAGAAAAATAAGAAGGGTTTGCTGTAGTCAGGGCAAGGGTAGAGTTAGGAAAAGGGTTAAAAGAACAGCTTTGGGGGAGGCAGAAAATGATGGGGCACCAGGGAGGAGTTTGGGGTTAGGATTTTGGAGCGTATTCTAAACTATCAATCTGCCTTCCCTCAGCCTATCGCATCCATGTGAACCTGAGTACCGTGACGATTCTTCAGGGTTTGAATGAGGGCTTCCAGGTAGAAGTCAGAGGCAAAACAGAGCTCAAGGTGATGCCTTACAGAAGCAACTGTACAGGGGAGAGTGCTGGACTTGGTCAGGAAGCTCTGAGCTCACATCTTATCTCAGACACATCATCACCATCATCATCATAACTAACATTTACATAGCACTTACTATGTGCAGGCATTGTGCACTAGTTGTGTGACCTTGGACAAGTTACTTATCCTCCCTCTGCTTGTTTCCTCTGCTATAAAATGGGGATAATAATAGCACCCACTTTCCAGGTTGTGAGATTGTGAGAATTAAATTAGATAATATTTGTGAAGTGCTTAGCACACTGCCTGGCATGTAATAGGTGCTTAATAAATGCATGTTTCCTTCCTCTACTATAGAATCTCCCCCATAATGGGATTGTCCCCTCTGAAAACCTTTGGCCTCACTGCTACATCTTTCCTAGTGTGTGGTCTCATTCTCTCTCTCTCTCTCTCTCTCTCTCTCTCTCTCCCCCTCCCTCCCTCTCTCTGTCTCTCTCTCCCTCTTTCTTTGTCTCCCTCTCCTTTTCTCTCTCCAGAAAAGCTAACAATATTCTTTTATTTTTTAAAATTCTGGTGAAAGAATGAGTCTTCAAATGAGAACCCATTTCTAAAAACAATTAAATTAACCTAAAAAGTTGTAACTAATGTCTGGGTTAGTCACACTATGCAGACTACATCCTAACTTTTAAAGATGACTAAATATTTCATGGAATATTTACAAATGTATCAGGTAGTATAGTTCCATTACAATCTTTTCCCCTAGAACTCTCAACGAATATCCATCCTTATTCCTATCCCTTGGCTGGAATAGGTACATTCTCCAGGATACCAAGCCACTATTAGCTCCCTCCCCTCTCCCCCCCCCCAAACACCTCTTACACCCTAGACTAATAATGTAGAGTCATCGCCAAGCCTTGCTCCAAGAAGATACCATTGGTCTCTGGTCTAGCCTTGCCCCTGGTCTGAGACTCCTCCTTGGCTACTACTCTCCAGTTCACTGGAACCCACTCTCCCCTATTCCTACTGGCTTTGAACTTCCTTTCCAGATCTAGCCTCTTTTCACTGTGGTCCTCTGATCACTGTACTAACCTTCCCTCCTAACGCCATACCTACTCTGATTGCCTTCCCACATTTCTCCCCATAGGGAAAAGGCACAGAAAAAACTTACTGGCTCGTGGGGAGAAAAGGATTTGACAAACCCATTCCTACCCCTCCTGACCTGCAGCCAGGGTGAGTGGGCTTGGAACCCTGGAAGGGTGGTGGGGTTGGGGCCCACAGAGATGTTAAGATTGCAAGTGGAAAAGGTTGAGGAAGGATTTGATAGTTTCCTATTACTATTACCATCCTCTCCAATTTCTCTACATCTCTTTCAGCGGTCCCTTGAGCATAAGTATTGGGAAATAAAAGAACTAGATAATCTTGAAGGCCCCTTTCCACTTTAAATCCTATGGACAGAGGCTTTTGTCCTTCTTGTCCCCTCCCCTCCACCCCACTTCTACCACCCTACAGCTTCTGATACCTGTATTTCTCCTCTACCCCAACTACTGGACTGGGAGTCAGGAGATGTGGGCTCTAAACTAAGTTGTGACCTTGGACCAATCATTTTTCTCTTAGTTTCAATTTTACCATCTGTAAAATGGAGATAATAACTTGCCTCATTGGGGTGTCATGAGAAGCAAAAGAGATAGTACATATGAAACTGTTTTAGAAAGTGCAATGTAAAAAATCAAATAAATAAAATTTTAAAATAATTTTAAAAGCATAAAGTCCTCTCTATAGATGTGAGATATTATTGTTGTTGATATCATTGTTGTTGTTGTTTTAATTTCCCTAGGGCCAGTAGCCATGGCATTAGTTTGCGAGAGATCCCTGAAGACAGAAGGAGGAAACTGGAGAAGGCACGTCCACGGCAATTATTGGGAAAATGAGGAGGTGGCCTCAGGAACAGGTGACTCCTTTTTCCTAAACCCCATAATTCCCCCTCTGTGGTATCCCCTGTAATGAATCCTCTCTGCAAATGCCTCCTTTGTGGACACCTGAAATCTATTTCATGACCACTCCTCTATGACACCACTTGATCATCTTTCTCGTTATTTTATTTTTAAAAATTTTATTTTTAATTTATGGAATAAAACAAGCATTTCCATAACATAGTACAATTAAAAAAAGATGATTGCACGTGAAGCTGCAAGTCTACTGTATACAACTTGCTATTCCTTTCAAATATACAACAAAAATATCATAAATTTCTTTTTTTTCCTTCCCCTCATCTCAGAGCTGGCTACCATTAGACACAAATAGGTGTGTGTGTATATATACATATATACGTGTGTGTGGATGTGTATGTATGTATATTTGTATGTATGGGTGTACAATTATTCTATACATGCTTCTATTTATCAATTCTTTCTCTGGATACAGATAGCATCTTTCTTCATATGTCCTTTATAGTTAATTTGGGCATTTATAGTAGACAAAAATAACTTAATCGCTCAAAGTCATTCTTAAAACAATATTGCTGTTACTGTATACAATGTTCTCTTGGTTCTGCCCATTTCGCTCTTCATTATTCTGTGCAAGCTTTTGAAAATAATGTTCAAATAACATTCGAAGTTATAATTGCTATTTGTGAATTTCCCTCCATCTTATTTTTACTCACTATTTTCCTTTTCAGCCTCTCTTTTCACCCTATCTCTATTACGTTACCCTCTCTTCTTACGCTCTTATTCCTTATTTTACCCTCCCCTCTAAAAGTCCGTCCCTTATCTATTCACCCCACCCTCCCAATCTTAATCAATACACCCTTCTAAGAGTCTCTCCCTCACCCTATCCCCCCAGTTTTCTCACCTCTCTAGAAGTTCAGAAGACTTCTACACCTTATTATATATGTACTTTGTTTCTTCTTCAAACCAGATAAGAGTAAGGTTCCAATGTTACAAGCCCTCCACCCGCCCTGTTTCCTCTGTATTAGTTCTTCCATTCACACCCAGTTTACTTTCTAATGCCTTTCTCTCTCTCTCTCTCCCTCAGGAGGAATATGGTTTGTACTGTTCCTGGATGTCACACTCTCATGGTTCCCTGGTGTCATTGAAGAGGACTGAGGCCTAGAAGGGATAATGACTTGTTAGAGGCCATAAAGCACACTTGTAGCTAGGTTTTCTAAAGTCCCAGACCCTTTGAGTTGGCTCAAAGCCAGGGCCAAGCGTCTTCTGGTATACCTGATGCCAGAACCAAAAGATTCTCAGATTGTAGAATACCTGACTGCAAGTTTGTTTCGTGACTCTTGACAAGTAATTTTCCTTCTCTATAAAATAAGGAGGGATTATACAATTTTCAAGGTACCCTTTGTACTCTGACCCTCTGACATTCAATGGGTCTTGATCCTGAGACATTAGAACATTGGTTACTGTTGGATTTCTGGAACTCTAGAACCTCCTACGCTGAAGTCTCCTCTAACTGCAGAGATTTCCGGGGCTTCAGATCAACCAGCCACCAAGGGCCTTAGACCCTATTCAAACTGAGAATTTTTAGTCATTTGAGCTTCCAGCTTCAAACAATTCTGCAACATGGGAGGTCCCAGGGATTCAAGAGGATTTTGGACCATCAGAACCCGCAGGCCCAAATGGTCTGAGGACTTTGGAACTTCAAGCATCAGAAGATCCCAGAGGTTTGGAAGGGTAGCGATGGACCTCCCAATGAGTGCCAGTCCTTGGGGTGACTTCAGATATTCCCTGGTTGCATTCCAAGTGACCAGGTTAAGACTATATCTTGGGGAAAGCTATTTTCTGGCCATTCAGGACTGAGGGCCTGGTGCCATGGGTTGGGAAAAAAAAATGTCTTCTACTAGGCTGTGAAGCCAGAAGACTGATGACTCAGTGGTTACTGGAGCAGGACTGAGTGGGTATAAAAATGGAAGCAGCCTCCCTCACCCTTTCAATCATGCCTAGCAGCCATGTCATTGCAATCATGAGTGATCTCAGAACACAAGTCATAATATACAACTTGATCTTGAAAAACGATTCCAACAGTAGACATTCTTCATATTATTTTGTCGTCGTTGATGTTCACCATAGCTGTCCAAGGATCATTCCAAGCTTGATTTGACATTTGGAGAAAGTTGTTATTCAACAAATGTAATACATCATCTCACACCTTATTTATGATGTGCTCAGAAACAGCTTCTCTCAGTCTAGTAGGGGGCTCTTCACCATGTTTATGTGAAATCAGCTTCTCAAAATTAGAACCACTGTTATTTTCATGCTGGGTCCTCTTGGATTGCATTTTTGAGGAGATCTCAAATACTGTTTATACATTTCTCATCCAGAGTTATCAGAAAGGCTCAGATCTACATTTTAGTGTTTCCTTCACTTAGATTCCACGTGGTTCTCCCCTCCTTTTTCTCCAGACAAGGTAGTGTGTACTTCAGGTACTAGGGGAGAGAAAGATGCCAGCTGTCACTCCACAATCTCTCCAGACCTTGCAGTACTCATAAGGTCAATGCTTTAGCATATCTATCTCAAGTTTGCTGCTCTGTCACTTAATCAAGGAAGGAGATATGAAAGAGACAGAGATGGTATCCGTGCGCTCATAGCCACCCTTACCATAGGGTAAGAGACAGGGAAGCCCTTCCCCCATCCAGCTTCTGAGAAGTAACTCAAAGATGCCTCCTTATAGCCATAAAAGAAAAAAGAAAGGAATGTAGTTCTGTCTCTGCAGCCCCTGAGTCATCCATTTTTCTGACTTCTTCATTATAAGACTTTTAGTTATTTCATAGTACCAGCCTCTCAGTCCTAGATGGTTGGAAACCAACTCCCCCTAAATTTCCACATGGTCACTTATTTGAACTAAAACCAGGCAGACACTTTCTGAGCATGCTTCTAGGACTGGCCATCACAGGCCAATCAATCCATGCTACACTAGCATTGGGCTTTCTGTGAATTCTGGGATTCAATGCCTTCTACTTCCCTCCAACTAGTATCCCCACTACAATCCACCCACCTAGGAATCCTGGGACTTGAGCCAGAGCCAAACTACAGAAGATAATGGGATTAGGTACTGTGACCTCAGAGGATTTCGGGACTAAAGTCCTCTACTTCCCACCTTGCTGGGAACATTGGCTGTCAAGAGGTGCTGAGGTCATTGCCCTCCAAAGACAGAGGATTAGCTACTGAATAGGATTCCCTTCTACACCCTGGGTGGGGTTGGGCAGTAGGGGATGGAGGAGGTGTAAATGTTTGAGGTGTGTGTGTGTGTGTGTGTGTGTGTGTGTGTGTGTGTGTGTGTACATGTATGTGTACCTGTATATGGTGGGAGTGGTGAGGGGTTTGGGTTCATCACTCAGGGCTTAAAAGATACCTAAGTGCACAGTTTAGGGAATATCTTAAGCCGCTATTTAGAAACTGGACCTTTTGCACATGGGAGAGAGGCAGTGTGGTAGTGAGCAAAGAGCACTGGACTGAGCATCCTGAAACATGAGTTCAAGTTCTGTCTCTGCCACTTACTTAGCTTTGTGATTCTGGGCAAGTCCCTTTACCTCTCTGAGCCTCAGTTTCCTCAACTGTAAAATGGGGATAATGATATTTGCACTACCTCCCTCTCAGGGCTATTGTGAAGAAAGTAGCTTATAAGCTGGAAAGCACTATACATTTCAATTTATGGGCAAAGATGACCTGCCTAAGGACACAAAACCTCAGAGCTGGAAGGGACAGTCCAACCTCTCCCTGAGTAGGATTTGCCTCTTCAACATCCCCAACAGCCTCTGAATAAAGTCCTCCAGTGAGAGGGACCCACTCCCTCCCAAGGCAGTTCATTCCATAACTGGACAACTTATTAACCTTTTCCCTTTATTAGAAAACCATTCTACTGAATGATATCTGCCTCTCTGAAGTTTCTACCCATTTTGCTCCCTCTGGTGCAAGAAGGAAAACTAATCTCTTTTCTACCTGCATGTATTTGAAGACCACTTTCATGTCCCACATCCCCAGTCCCCAGTCTTTTCTTCTTTTGTCTAAACATTTGTAATTGTTTCAGCTGGTTCTTCTATGGGATGGTCTCCATCTCACCCTCTGGGTCATACTCTTCTGTAATTATCCTTCCAAAACAATGGTGTCCCAAACTGAACACAGTACTTAAGGCTTGATTTGACTAGAGAAGAGTACAGCCCCATTCTGAACACTTCCTCTCAGTGAACCCTAAGGTCATGTTTGCTTTTTGGCTTTCATGTTGCCCTGCTGACACATTCAGCTTGGATTCAATGAAGCCCCCCAAAGAGGCTGATTCAGGGCTTCAAAAAAATGGAGTCTACAATGAGAAATTGCTATGAATCTATGATGACCCAGAATGCTGGGGGAGCAGAATGTTCTACCTGGATTTCTTCTTAATCAGAGGGTGTAAAATTCAAGGCCACCTTCTTGCTTATCTGATTTAGAGTCTCATAGTTCTCTGTGAGGGTGATCATTCTGAGCAGCAACTCCCAGGATGTGATGTTATTTAATTCAATTAAACAAACTCTTATTAAAATGTACAAGGAGCTCTATTGGACAATGAGGACACAAATATAAAAAATGAAGAAAGTCTTTGGCCTCAAGGAGATTTGTCTAATTATGCAAAATATGTATATAGTCCCTTAAACACAGTAGAAGCTCAATGTTTGTTGAATTTGAAGGAGCATATTACAAGGGAAGGAGTGATAGGGGCACAGGAATAATCCAAAGTACTTTATAAAGATTTGAGGAAGGAGAGGTTGCTTTTACTTGGGAGGACCAGGGAAGACTCTGTGGAGGAGGTAACAGTTGAATTGGGCCTTGAAGAAAGAGAAGAATCTTTAATAATCAGAGATAAGGGTAGATTATATTCCATGTGGGAGAGGCTAAGTTAAATTTGGGAATAGTGAGTCATTCATTTTGAAAAACAAAGTACATGAAAGCAAATAGTATGAAATAAGACTGGAAAGATAGTCCAGTTGTGGAAGGCCTTAAAACACCAGGCTAAGGAATGCTGTATTTTATCCTGTCATCAGTGAAAAGCCACCGGCAATTTTTGAGCAAGGCAATGATGAGAGCAGACGTGTGCCTTAGAATCACTTAGAGTTAACAAGGACACGTGTTGGTGATCATCTAGTCAAAGGATCCCCCAAAGCTCCAGTAGCTGGTAAGCAGCAAAGTTGGGATCCAAGCCCAGATTCTCTGACTTCAAACCCAGGATTCTTTCTGCTACACTGGATTGGAGAAGGAGAAGATCAGAGACGAGGATACCAGTTAAAAGGCTATTGTAATAGGGCATGTAAGGCCTGAAGTAGGCAGTGTCAGTGGCAGGACAAATTGGAAAGATTTTTTGGAGAAAGAATTGATAGGATTTGGTAATTTATTGGATGTGGGGTTGAGGGGTGAGGTGGAAGGAAGAGTCCAAGGTTACTCCCAGATTTCAAGCCTGGATGATCAACTAGGAGGACTGTGGTACCATTGAAAGAAACAAGAGAGTTGAGAAAAGGGAAAGGAGAATGAATTTGGTTTTGTTAAATTTGTAGCACTACTGGGGCTTCTATCAGGAGAGGTAGTGTGAAACGGGAGAATGGGCTCTGGATTTGAAGTCAGAGGATATGGGTTTGAACTCTAGTGCTGCTACTTATTACCTGTGTAACCTGGGGCAAATTACTTCACCTAATTGAACCAACGTCTGAGGCCTCCTCTAATTCTAGAGCCTCTGATCCAGTTGGCATTTGGAAATCTGGGACCCAGTGCTCAGGGCTGTCATTTGGGAATAATCCATGTACAGGTGATAATTGAAGTCTTGGGAGTGGGTGAGATCACCAAGGGAGAGAAAGAAGAAAGCAAAGGACAGCTCACTGGGGGATTAGGAAGATGATTCCACAGAGGAGACTGAGAAGGAATCGTCAGACAGCTAGGGTAACCAGGAGAAAACAAAGTCATGGAAGCCAGTACTCTAACGTGGATGCTGAAGGAACTTTGCAACAACTAGAGCTATTGGACAATGGCTTGCTTTGGGAGATAGAGAATTCTCCACCACTGGAAGAAGTCATAGAGGGGATTCCTGATTGAATAGAAAGTTGGACTAGAAAACCCATTAAAGGTCCTTTCCAACTCAGTTTAAGATTCCAGCATTCTGTAGAGAAGGTAAAAACCACTGGGCTGAGGCTGTGTGTTCAGTATCAAAGTTGCTGGGATTAATCAGATCCCTGGGCCTCAGAAAGAAAGGACTGAAGATGATTATGGGTGTTTCAGTGAGTTTATTGCCAATTCCCTTAACTCAGTCAGTGTACCAGAACAGAGCACAACATCCCTTCTGACTGAGATTGGGGAATAAACCTGGTGTCTAGAGATTCTACTGTCAAATATACTTATATCCCTTTATTCTATACCCCTCCCAAGTAATCTAGCTCCCCTCTCATTCTCAATCTCTCCCTCTTTGTCTCTTTATTTTAGAAAACATCTCAAGGCAAGGGATGATCTTATCTGGAAGAAATATCTTAATGTTTGGCAAGAACACTGGATTTAAAGACAGTGGACCTAGGATTCCAGTCAAAGCTCTGCCATTGACTCAGTGTTTATGTGTCCTTGATGGTATCGCTTCCCTCTCTGGACCTCAGTTAACTCAATTGTAAAACGAAAGAGCCAGATTGTTGTTATTTTCAGTTGTATTCAACTCTTCATGACCCCATTTGGGGTTTTCTTGGCAAAGATACTAGAGTGGTTTGCCATTTCCTTCTCCAACTCATTTTACAGATGAGAAAACTGAGGCAAACAGGGTGAAATGTTTTCTGCAAGGTCACATTAACTAGTAAATGTCTGAAGCAGGATATGAACTCAGGAAAATAAGCCTCCAGGCCCAGCACTCTATCCACTGTGCCACCTCCTTGCCTGTGGGACTTGGGTCAGATGATCTTTAAGGTTCCTTCTGGCTTTAGAATTCCATGACCGATGGTCTTGGGAGAGTATTTGAGGGTTAAAGAATATAATGTATGCCTGTTCTGGGTCTCCTCTTGCCTCTCAGTCATTCTACACAGCTGGGGTAGAATTCAGATTAGCTGATAGAGCAGTGAAAAACACAGGTTAAAGACATTGAATGTGAACCCTTTTCTAACACTCAGGAAATTCTTTTTGTTGTTGGTGTGTAGTGTTATTAGCTAAATTCCTGCTGGCAACTTATTTTCT